GGAAATGATTCTTATTTCAACCGTTGCGTATATTAGCTGCGACATATGAATCAGGATGCTATGACCGAAAATAATTGATTGACAGATGACCGTTAATATAGGCTATGATTGGACTAATTTAGATGTACAGGCTGACGTATAACTAACTGGCCTGCAGAAGATAACGAGAAAAAACACAGATAAGACAGGATTTTTTTTTATATAAATGTTCTAAATTTGGCAACAATATTGTCTGATAAAGATTTATATAAACATTTATATACATGATTAAGCCAGAATAATTTGACATTTAAATATGACTTCCCTACGACTTTAAGCTCTGATTTGGACTGGATTTAATTAGATTTTAACTGGTTTTAAGCCATCTGTAAAATGTCCTTAGGTGACTTCCCTACGACTTTAAGTGTTAAACTTAAACGTGATTATTGATGCATTTCTGGACAGTTATGTTTTTGTTATGAATTAAATTTTATCTTCATATTATTGACAAAATAAAACAATAATATTTAAAACCAAACATTTTTTATCACTTTAATCATTATTTTATTGCTCCCCCCATTCAATTCTGCCCGCGGCCCCAGAAAGCGCTCAGCCCGCCCTGCGCGTCTTCATCATCAGCATCCTGAAGAAGGACAGCCATGATGTCCGCCTCCTCCTCTTCCTCCTTCTGTTAAAAACCACCAGGATGAAGCGATTTTCCCTTCCGCTGATCCGAACTCTGTAACGGACACGGAACGCCGCCGAACCGGACCGGATCAGTTCGGTTCCGGTTCCGTTCAGACCGCCTCGGTGACGCTGAGGCTTGTTTACGTGCGATCTGGATGGAGGTCCAGATTCCCAGAAGGAAGAACCACATCAGGAAGTGATGCAGAGCATGTAAGATTCGTTCGATTCGGTTCGGTTCTACTGGTTCGGTAGCAGGTCCGGTGTGAACGGTAGAGTCGGTATTTTTCCACGCGGGGCCCCAGGTTGGTGATGAAGATGGAGGCTGCAGCTGATTCTCAGAAAACGATCAGAACCGTCATGTTGGATCATCCAGGTGTTCTAAGCTGCATCCAGAGGCACCAAGCAACAGATTTAAGGTTTAAATCAAGAACAAAATATTAACAGTATCAATAAATAAACCTGATCTGAATATAAACAACAAACGGATCAGATGGTTACCATAGAAACCATCCTTTCTGCTCCACAGCTGGCTTTTCTCTAGAAAATTTAGATCTTTTTTAAAGATTTTAACTTTTTAATTCCTTTAAAAAATATTCCTTTCTTTTATAATTAAAATGTGGAAATTCAATCTCCTTATTTTAACATGATGTTGGCAAATACATCTGACTCTGAACCTTTCATTTGGGAGATAATATTTATGGGGAATTTTTATAATATGGAAAAATGATAACCCTTCAGACAGGCGGAATGATGCTTTATTATTATGGTTGTTTTTTAAATACATTTTATGCATTTTTATATACAGAATTGTGCATTTTTGCAAAGTTTCACCTACATCTAAAATGACTCCAGCTGAATGCTTTAACACAGAAAAAAGTTTGAATTCCAGCAACATCATCAGCTTGTTTATCCAGGATTTAAACACAACTGTGTTGATTTGTTATGTAGCTTTAAACTCAAATGAAATGTATCCACAAGGTCCAGAAACGTTTTCTAACACAACGGTATAACTTTGAGATGAAAGTTATTGGAGATTCTAAGGATGGAGGCTGATGGACCTACAGTTACTCGACGCTTTTATTTTGTTTATTTTCCAAAATTGAGCTCAAACATATTCTTATTGAAATCTTTCCTATTGTTGAGAACACGAAAGATCCAAAATATCCAAAATAGAAACATTTATTTTTATGGGTATTAATGGATAAAAAAGGATGAATAACAGCCGATTCTGATCCCAACAGCTATATATCATGCATCCCTAGTGTGCACACAATTTCAGTTTCATTCATCCATTAATGCATCCAGAAAAAATGTTGATTGACTGATGGATTTTTCCCCTTTCAGCTGCATCAGTTCAAAAGCAGCAAAATCAAATTTAGAATTTTTTTCCACATATTGTTGACAAGTCTACGTATTGAAATTATTGTTTGGGACATGTCTACCAGTCCTTCAGAAAGTTAGGCCTAGGTTCTAACATAAAGATGAAAGGTGTTCTATCTGTGACTAGTTTGGATGGCTGTAAAGGGGTTGGAAGTGGTTGCTAACGAGTAAATCCAGCCGAGTCACCAGGACAGCCTCTGTAAACACAGAGCTTTGTCTCATGGGTTCCTTGCAGCCTTAATGGGTTCCCTCAGAGGAGACTGGGATCCCTGCAGATTCCAAACCCATCCCAGTTGGCTACTGGAGAACAAGAGCGGTGGGATTTCTGGCTGGAAATTAGGATTAATTGGTTTTAGGTTGGTAATGAACCTGTCTAGGAATATTAATAAACCAAAACACTTACCAACTATCTGCTCTCAGGAATCAATGGATTTACTAACCAACCACTTGCTTTTCTAGTCTTTGAGTCAAGAGTCTTCATTGTCTAACCAACAACTGTACATTGCCCAGGAGGACCAGGGGCAGTGCAGGGATGAAGCGGCCTAGTGGTTAGGGCATAGAGCTTGGAATCCTGAGGTTCTGAGTTCGAGCCCCACTCCCACAGACTGCACTCTGGCTCTCTGAGCAAGACCCTTAAAGGAATAGTACACCCAAAACATGATTAGCCTTCATTTTCTACTCACCTCCATGCTGAACAACACTCTGGAGTACTTTTTTGATATCTCAAATGCATCTGGAGATCTGGGAGGCTTCTAGCTGTCTGCTGACATTCAAATAATGGAGGTCTATGGTGACCGAGACAGAAATGTCCATAAAAGTCCACAAAAAACGTGTCAATATTCCTCCATACTGCTCGTCCAATGTATTCCAAGTGTCCTGAGTGGGTAGCATCCAGAATTTACTCGAAACGAAGTCATTTAGAATGTTTTTAGAGCATAAACAGTAATGTATAGGATTTCCTGAAAGCGCGCACATGCGCGCTCACGACGCTACGGAAGCCGTCAGACCAAACCAGATGAAAGTGCTCATTCAGCTCGGCAAAGAACTCATGCTCTTCCTCAACACTGAAGTCCTCAGAAATTTTTCTTTCGTTGTTTCTTTCTTTGCACAGGTAAACAGCACATTTCTTCTTCTACGCTTGCATTATTGGCAGAGCAGACGCTGAATGCGCACTTTCATCTGGTTTGTCTGCCGGCTTCCGTAGCGTTGTGAGCGCGCAGGCGCGCGCTTTCAGGAAATCCTATACATTACTGTTTATGCTCTAAAAACATTCTAAATGACTTCGTTTCGAGTAAATTCTGGATGCTACCCACTCAGGACACTTGGAATACATTGGACGAGCAGTATGGAGGAATATTGACACGTTTTTTGTGGACTTTTATGGACCTTTCTGCCTCGGGCGCCATAGACCTCCATTATTTGAATGTCAGCAGACAGCAAGAAGCCTCCCAGATCTCCAGATGCATTTGAGATATCAAAAAAGTACTCCAGAGTGTTGTTCAGCATGGGGGTGAGTAGAAAATGAAGGCTAATCATGTTTTGAGTGTACTATTCCTTTAACCCCAAACTGCTCCCTGGGGGCCACACAAAGGCAGTCCACTGCTCCCCAAAGGGATGGCTGAAAAGCTTTGATAGTTTTGACGTCAGTTTAAATTTCAGGTTCTTTCCTGTTCTGTGCTTACAAATCAACATTTCAAAGGATTCAACAAACAAGCTGCTACTAAGAGACATGTCAAACCTCATCAAACCCACATGACTTTACCAGCTAAAACCCCTATGTTGAGTTTGAAGCATGAATGCTAATGCTAGCCTAGCCAGGGTAGCAAACATAAGGCTCATTTACAGTAGCCTTTTGAAACCGTGCTGAGATCGGTCCGAGCACGGTAACCAAGGTAACCAGCAGTTCAGTTCTGGTTGGTTCTCAGATAACAAAGAGCGCATCAGCATCTCCTCACAGTAAGCCTCCGTAATCATGAAATTTCAGACGTTCATAAAAATACTAGCTTCCCTACTGTTCCACAGGATTTCCAGTCATGATTCTGCTAAGCAGCCTCCTGTTGTTGTTTCCTGCGTCAGCCCTGATTAGACTATCGTTTGTCCTATCCACTTCCCAAAAGCCGACTGTCAAGTAAATTCACCAAAGGCTGCCTTCTTCGTCTGACTCTCCGCAAACTTCCTGAATGTTACGGGTGCCGCCATGTTGATTTGCTTGTTTACCTCTAGAGAGCAGTAGTAGCAACAGATTGTCACTAGGAGGCCAAGAACAATGTTAGCTCGGTGTGTAAACGGTCATAAGGAACCGAGCTCTGCACGGTTCAGTTTTCAGAGGGTAGTGTAAATGGGGCTATAGTAGAAGCAAATAAATCCTTCTCTCCGTGAGTCACTGAGAACTTAAAGTCATAGGGAAATCATATTTAAATGTCAAATCATTCTGGCTTAAACATGTTTATAAATGTACTCTTTATCAGACGACATTTTCCCAAAATTTAGAAAATTTCTGTTTTTAAAAAATCCTGTCTTAAAATCTTTTATTTTTTCGTTATCTTCTGCAGGCCAGTTAGTTATACGTCAGCCTGTACACCTACATTCAGCCAACCATATATCAACGGTCATCTGTCAAATTTTTTCGGTCATAGCATCTTGATTCATATATCGCAGCTAATATGACTCATCCACGACCTCCGACACTAAACTCTCCTCCTCTTGCATGTTTCCTCTGTCCATAGCGTTTGTTGACAGTGTCGTTTCTAAGTCACCAATGTAGTGCTACTTGGTCCCAATGGAATTTCCCATTGGGAACCTGCTAGCACTAAGTTGCTAACTGGTTAGCAAGATGCTTCTGACAAACCAGCCACAAACAAACCTGCTTTAGAACCTTCCGCCCCAACAACCCCGCCCTCTTGATAAATGACCAATCACGACTAGCCAATCACAAGTCGTGCACCACTCCGGAGAATCTGGAAATGCAACGCTTGGAACAGTTGCTTCCCTTCAACTTTAAGATTTCGGAACTCTTGGATGTATAAAAACAAACTCCATCGATGAGTTTGGGGAACAAATGCTTAGCGACCGGTACTTCAGATTGACCTGCAGCTGTTTAGTAAGAAATACTTGCGTGAACACTCCTGTCTGTTGTAGTGACCTCCTGTTTTTGTGTCTCCACAGCTCATCTCCAATGCTGCTGTACAGCAATGGTTTATGCTCAGTCAACAAACAGAGTTGGTGTAAATCCCTCCCTCCATTCTCCAGTCCTCATGTATCAGATGTCATTTAACTACTCCAAGAGAGAAAACTCGACTGTCCTGGCCACCTTACCCACCACTCCGCTCTACAGCCTCGAGGGCTCGACCTTCAGCCAGCCCAACACCTCTGCCTCCAGTGAGCTGACCCAAGGAGAGGTCGCTGTCCTGGGCCTGGTCTTTGGCGTCCTCTGGCTGGTCTCCATCCTGGGAAATGCTCTGGTTTGCCTGGTCATCCACAGGAGCCGACGGACTCAGTCCACAACCAACTACTTTGTTGTGTCGATGGCTTGTGCAGACCTGCTCATGAGCCTCGGCTGGGCTCCGTTTGTCCTTCTGCAGGTCACCGCAGGACAATGGCCGCTGAGCGCTGCTGCCTGTAAGATTGTACGTTACCTGCAGCACTTGTGTCCCGGTGTTCAGGTTTATGTTTTGCTTTCCATCTCTGTGGACCGTTTCTATACCATTGTCTATCCCCTCAGCTTCAAAGTGTCCAGAGAGAAGGCAAAGAAGATGATTCTGGCCTCATGGTTGTTTGATGCCGCCTTTATCTCCCCCTGTTTCTTCTTTTATGGATCCACAGACAGTCATTGTGACTTTTTCCTCCCAGACAGTTGGGGCAGCATAACCTTTGCTGCATTTCACCTTCTGATAGGATTTGTGGTCCCGGTTGGACTCATAGTAGCTTTCTACCAGCGGGTGGTCCGCTACGTTTGGAGGATCGGAGCCGACGGCCTTACGGTGCGTCGGACTATGAACATTGTCCCGCGGACTAAAGTTAAGACCATCAAGATGTTCCTCATGCTAAACTCTGTTTTCTTCTTCACCTGGACACCCTTCTATGTGGCCCAGCTGTGGCACCCTAAGGAGGCACAAGTACCTGGTAGGCAGGAACTGTTGTTCTTCACAGCCATTTCCTGGATCTGCTTCAGCTCCACGGCGTCCAAACCTACCCTGTACTCCGTGTACAATGCAAACTTCAGGCGCGGCATGCGGGAGACCTTTTGCATGTCGTCCATGAAGTGCTACCGCAGTAATGCTTACACAATCACCGCCAGCTCCCGGATGGCCAAGAAGAACTACGTTGGGGTGATTGAGATCCCAGTCCAAGCAAAGACCATCACCAAGGACTCTGTGTATGATGCATTTGATCGGAATACTAAGGAAAAAAAGGTAGCTTGGCCCACCAACACCAATCCCCCCAACACCTTTGTATGAGCTACTTGGGACAGTTGGAACCAACCCAAGAGCCATGTTGGCCAGTGGACCGACTCAGACTCCCAGAATGTGTTTCTTTGTGTGTAAAGGGCTACTTTATGATGGTCCATCCCTTCTGGTTGCCATGGTTTCCAACGCGGTGTCTCAAACATGTTTTCTTGTTGGGTCATCTACACAGCCAGTGGACATTCTCAACAAGTGCTTCTGTAATCTGTGTGCTAGAAGCTAATGTTTGTAAAAACTGGTCCTACTGCTACCATCATGTGCTTTGTTGCTTTATTAGATGCTAAAAGAGCCAGAACCTCTGGTTACCTCATTACCTGGACCAAAGGAGGAAGATTTTTTATTTTGTCCCAGAGGCTGGGATATATGGATATAGTGTGTTCTGTAGGTGGCGCTGTAGGCTATATTTAGCTGTTACTAACAGGAAGTAGAAGCAGAGGAACTGGGAGGGGGGCCTCCAGGAAATATTTCCGAGCCTGGTCCAGGTAAACATTGTGAAAATGTGCAGTAATATAAACATCTGCTGATTAAATAAAAAGGAGAGTTTTCATCAGAGTGATTCTGTTTTATTTGCTTTGACAAAGTTTGGTAAGAGCTACAAAGTTTATTTAGGTTTCACAAAGTGCTTCTGCTACAACAAAGAAAGTGGACAACATTCAGGAAAGATTACATCATTAAGACAAAGACAAGAAAACAAAAAGGATCTGGAGTTGTTTGTGAAACAGGTTTCCTGCTCTAATGACACACAGAACTGGTTCAGGACCAGCTAACCTAAAACTGTTGGGTCCAGAAGTGAATAGTATAGAAAAAAAAATAAAAACTAACATTCTTTGTTTGATCCAAATCTAGACGATTCAGGATTTGCTGAACCAGAGCAGCCTATCAAGAAACAGCGTTTATTTGGATCTAGAAAATATTGTCGCAATCTGATCCATAACCAGCTATCTGAACAACGTCCTGGCTGACCCAGAACCGCTAATCCAGGTCTTTAGCAAGTCTAGAATCCACTGATCCAAACCCAGCTAACCCACAACCCGATTCTCCAAAGTTTCACTTAATGCAAAACCAGTTATCTCTGATCCTTGGTGCAGAAGCAGGTGATCAATTCTCATTCCCTCCTTTCCCAGCTGGTTCAGAACAGGCTGATTCAGAAGCTGCTAAAACATGGCTCCATGTGATCCAGAACCAGCTGAAACATCGGATCTATCGCGCTACAACAGAAACACTGACATTTAGCGAGAAGATAAAAATCAAAACATCCTCTTCTGAGCAGCGGGAAGCCGTCAGCGGGTCATGTGACCTGGAAACAACCAGGTGATGGAAGATAGCAGACCTCAGCCATATTTCAGCCACAACAGACAAACAGGAGATGAGATCAGTGAAGACAGAATGAAAGGAGGATCTTCTGATGAACGTTACATTTCTAATGGTTTGGAGGAATAGGCCTGCTGGGTGGGATCCGGGTTGCATCCAGGTCACAGAGGTGCTGAAAGGTCACGGAAAGCTTTTAGTAATTAAGGTGGAGGACAAGCGCCGCTGATGGTTTAACTCTGAGCGCTGCTGTTCTTCCCGTTCTTTGACGCTTTGGTGCTGCTGGCGCTCTGAGGAATCTTCTGCTCGTCTCCGGTCAGAAGAGCCTTGATCTCCGAGGGGATCTTTCCCTGGTCCATGGCGGAGCACCACTGTTTATACTGCAAGAGAGAAGCAGGATCAGGAGATCAAACCACTGATGAAGCACAGCGAACAACCCCTGAAGTTCAGAATCAGCTCTTCAGGTTTGGAGTTTCTACACCTGCAGTTATTAGTGAGAAGAACAACTGCTTGGTTCTCTTGTCTTTGCATCACAGGAACAAAAGAACACCATGAAGCCGGAATCAGCATCTGGAGACAAATCAGCTGCAGCTGCAGCTATTGACTGGTGCTGTCATACAGAGCAACACGACATGGAGGGAGGGATCCAGGTCTTACCAGAACCAAACAGGAATAATCAGCCCAGTTTCAGTGAGCAGAACCTGAACAAGATGAAGTGTTCGGAGGAAAGTGGAAGTTCTGATGTATAATTTCAACTAAAAGCTTTTTAGAGTTATCCGTTATCTATATTTTAGTTAAAGACAAAAGCTTTTGCTTAGTGTAATAACAGGCCTCACCATCTCCAGCTCCTCCCGCAGGGCGCAGATGGCTCTCTCCTTACTAGAAACCAGCTCTTCCAGGTACTGGTACCGCAGCTTCTTCCGAGCTCGGCACTCTCTGGCGCTCTGCCGGCTCCGCTCCAGTTTGGCCTTCAGGTCGATCTTTGCCGGCTTGCGGCCTCGTTTTCCGGGCTTCTTCACCTTTCCGGCCACCATCTGAGGGTAGAGGAAACAAAGCAGTCAGTTTAGCCACACAGGACCAGAGGTGTCCAGTAGCAAAGTACAAATACTTTGTTACTTTACTTTTAAAGGATGTTCTTTTTCGGGCTGGATCATCTAAATAAGTGGTCCTCCTATTTGTCACTAATTCTGGGGATATGTTTGCATAAGGCTGTCCTACGTGCTCGTCCCCATCTTCACCTTACCCTATGCCGAGGGTTACCTCCTCTCTCACACACTGATGAGAAAACGATTGAAATATGAACAAAAAGGGAACTTTTAAACATGATTATAAAGCTGATCCCAGTAGGAAATTAGTCCCTAACGAAGTAGGACATTAATAGCCGTGCTAACACTGTAGGGGCAGGGCTAGCTGTGCTAACCGTGTAGGGGCAGTGCTAGCCATGCTAACCATGTAGGGGCAGGGCTAGCTGTGCTAACTCTGTAGGGGCAGTGATAGCCATGCTAACCATGTAGGGGCAGGGCTAGCCGTGCTAACCCTGTAGGGGCAGTGCTAGCCATGCTAACCGTGTAGGGGCAGTGCTAGCCATGCTAACCGTGTAGGGGCAGTGATAGCCGTGCTAACCCTGTAGGGGCAGTGATAGCCATGCTAACCATGTAGGGGCAGGGCTAGCTGTGCTAACTCTGTAGGGGCAGTGATAGCCGTGCTAACCATGTAGGGGCAGGGCTAGCCGTGCTAACCCTGTAGGGGCAGTGATAGCCATGCTAACCATGTAGGGGCAGTGCTAGCCGTGCTAACTCTGTAGGGGCAGTGATAGCCATGCTAACCATGTAGGGGCAGGGCTAGCCGTGCTAACCATGTAGGGGCAGGGCTAGCCGTGCTAACCATGTAGGGGCAGGGCTAGCCGTGCTAACCATGGAGGGGCAGGGCTAGCCGTGC